GGTCGACCAAAACTTTCTCCAATCTATACAACATTTGGACCTGATGAAATAAATACTTTTGATTTACAGTTACTGCACAACCTCCAGCAAATCCTGATACACGTCGCTACCCGTTTTTAACATCAATCATTCAACTCATGAGCCAAACACCAGGGGCACCCAACGACAATTTTCGGAAAATTATCTGTTCGGAAGACGATTTGAGGTCTAGAATTTTCGGGTCATTTTCTGAAAAATTTCTTGCTTGCCTACCTCTCCTAGGATTTTCGAACTTCAAAAAATCGTATAATTGCCCATTTTTAACGGATTTTTACCCTAAAAAGGTCACCTAGAATTTTCGGAAGCCTTTTTTCTGGCTTTTTCTTTCGAAAAGGTAAATTTTGATCCCTATAATTTTCGGATCACTATACTTTCAGCTAGGAAATCCGAACAGATGAAAAATTTTCAGGGGATAAAAATAAGCCTTTATCTACCGTTTAAATACTAAAGTACGTTCAACAATGCTATGTTTATGTGGTTTTGAACTATATTCTCGTTGGGTGCCCCTGAAACACTGATGAGTATTAAGTTATTAACGTATTGAGCTACTACTGCTACTAACAATCTACCCTGCGACCAGAGTCTCCTTCGATAGGAAGATCGAAGGAGACTCTGCTCGCAGGGTACTAGCAATCAAGTTTCTTTCAGCTCTACATGATGGCGCCTTTAAAAGTCAGTCTTAAGTCTTTATGGAACTAAAACTCCTGAGGTCTTAATCTCTCCTTGTATTTGGTGTCTTCGGGGAAATCCTGAGTGTTAAGGATGCCGGAAAGTGTGAGTAACAGCAAGAAGAGACGGAGTATTCTATCCGCACTGATAACGTAACCGTTTTAGTTGGCTACAAATCATGAATATACCATGCCAGCTAGTCCGTGCTTTCACTATATATCATGTGAACGATCCTCGCCAGTGACTTTCATAATACATCTGATGTTTTCTGCCGCACGCTCAAAAACAATATTAGGGAGTCAGCAAAGCCCGGAGTGTTGTTAGATAAACATTAATAAAATCAATTGAAAATAAGCCTACCCTCTGTTCTCCCCTGTGTGCTGTTAGGGCCTGTACAAAAGACAAGAAGAGCTGTAAAAAGGAGCAAAGTGGACGTTTTCATTGTGCAAGTCAAGCTTAATTCTTTGAGTGCTTGCGATCTAGTTCGACTGAGCTCATCGGCGACTTTTGTTAAATTGTTTATGGGAAAGAGTTGTTTTGACTAAAACAGTTGTTAACAATGATCTCTGAATATCATTAGATGAAAAGTAATTGTTTCCCCTGACTCTTGGAAACCACATCACATTCCTTCTAAGAATTAGTGCCTATTTTTGGAGACAGAGCTTGTGTTTTCTTCAGTCAGCGGCTTAGCCTGCGTAGCAGGCCCAGCAAAGAACGGGTGCATGAGAGGGAGATACGCATGTCTCCCTCTCGCGCGCTCGTTCTTTCTTGCTCCCACTTTCGCGCGCTCGTTCTTTCTTGCTCCCACTTCCGCGCGCTCGTTCTTTCTTACGCCCACTACTTCCAAGCGCCTGCTACGCAGGTCTTCAGCGGTTATGTAATAACAATTTGGCTCTTTTTTTTCTCTTTTTGTCCTCTTTTAGACACTCCTTTCACTACTGCATGTAAGGTCATGACCGAGCTCTGGTAAGGTGTTTGTGAAACACCTCTATTAAACGACGACAAAATGCAAAATGTTACTAGGTTTAACACTACACGAAATGGGACCCCACCGTTGATTACAATCATTTTTGTATGGCGTGAAGAAAATTCCATTCTTTTTCAAATGTTACCGACATTGTACCATGCTCCTGAATCTCCGGTTAATACGACCAACCCCGCTCCCGGATATTTCGACCAACAAAAACAACCACCTCGTGGTGTGGCTTCTTTTTTTCCTTTGCGCTTTGGCGTCAGACTGGGTACTGGAGCGAAGAACCTGGGATGGAAACCTGGGATGGAGCATCACACGCGGGGGCTCCACCGCGGTCAAACGTCTGAGCATGCGCGAAGATTTGCTTGGTGATCGCTACATTCGATTTGGAAAATCTATGCACATGTGGCGACGTCTTCTTGCGGGCGGGAACAGAGAAATTTTCTTTGTATTTCAAGAAAGTTCACTGGCGATGAATAGGAAGAATAAGAAGAACGCATAACAGGAAATGTAAGTATGAGTAAACTTGCCTTTGACAATCATAATATTCCCCAAGTGCTCTTATGCTCTTGTTGATCAAAATGGTGGCACACATTTGTGGCCTCTTAAAGTATAGCTCAAGTTTAAATAGTTTTAAATTGTTTAAGCTTTCTGTAATGTTTTTATACTAACACTGGCTTGAACGTAATTTGAATGGTTGGTATTTTTATTTAATACAAACCATATCTTTTGGGCTCTGGTTCGTTCTGCAAAGTAAAAAATTTAGTAAATTGTCTGGTTGTCTTTTTTTTTGCGATGAAACTGTTCTTTTATGACTGACGACCTTAATTTTAAGCTTGTTCTTATCTTTTCACATCAAATATATTATCTCGCTCAGGGTTTAAGTCTGTATTAATAACAAACAAAATGTATCGATAATGAATAATTATTTTAGATCTCATTCATAAAATTAAATGACCACATCACATGAGTTTAGTAAACATAATCGAGCTCAAAAAAGATGTATGAACATCTATAGTGTCGGTGTTATTTATTGTTTTAGGCCAGGCACATTGTGAGGGGAAAAAGGTTTTTGTTTTAGCAGATGTTTAATAACCACACATAAGTTCGATAATCACAGCAGCATAAGATTATTTTTGACTGTTTGACATTGCAAATTGACCAGAAATCAGTGTACATGCTGTCATTTCAACACTATTGCTTATTCTTCATGTTTGTTTACATTCATGACTAGGCTTCTGTTTTCATTACGCTGTCCATTCAATGCTCGCAGCTTGGTCTTAGTTTTACAGTTTAAATTACTAGCAATAGGGGGAGGGGAGTGGTGGTAAATGAGGTCTCAGTTGTACAACCTTCTGTGTTGATTTAACTGCCATGGTGTTTAATGATCTTGTATGCATCTTTAAAGTGGGCCAAATAATACGAGTTAGAGATTATTGTGGGTTACTAGATGCTCGTATAGCATTAAAAGGAAAGGCACTTGGTATCTACTGTAGTTTTGTTTTTGTTATAACAATCTGACAACTTATTATTTATTTGATTAAATCTATCTTATTTTTGTACAGAAAGTTAGGAAGGGGATGAATAGAAGACATAGAGTCTAGACACTGAAGGAGAAGCAGATCCATGAGAAAAGGATGCAAAATGAGAAGAAAGAATGGAAATGATGTACATAAAGAACACCTAATTTAACTGAAAAGACAAATAAAGGTTCCACTAAATTTTATTTGCAATTTTGTCTTCTTTCTTACAGTATTTTAGACTATCTTTTAGAAAATCTTGTTAGCCAAGCAGTCTAACTGACCAGCCATCATTTGGAGATGGGCAGCTATCCTCTCAAGGCTTTGTTACCTGTTTATTATTGTTATTTTTTCTGCTTTTTCTTAAAGTCTTCCTTCTTGATCTTTGATCACCTCTCTGGCTTAAACAAAGTGCATTATTATGGTCGAAGTGAAAAAGTTAAATTCCGTTTTTTCTCTTCTGTTTCAATCACAAAAAGGACACCCCTTACTTCCATTTCTTTTTCTGACAACTGGAAACAGGGATGACTCCAACCAGTTTTTCAATGATCAGTTGTAGTTAATTGCTTCTGACGAGCTTAAAATGCCAAGCACACCGCGTTTATATATAGCAAAATGTTGAAAGCCTTGGCTCACCTGATCAGGAGCTCAAAAGGTAATCAAGGAAATAGGTCATGGGGAGGGGAGGGGAGGGAAGGGAAAAGCTGAAAAAAAACCATTAACCGAGAAAAAAATATTTCTGTACAGTTGTTCATCCGTTTATAAAATATTACTTAAAATGAGAGGACAGTGAATTCAAATTGCTGAGAATAAAATTTTAGTTAAGTGTGGTTTACCATATTTTCTGATGTCTCTTTCGTTTGTTTTTGGAGTGAAGAGATTTATTAACTGCGTTGCTTCTGCATAATTATTGCACCATTTTGTCCGAGGTTTGTAGTGGGTAACGTTGTCAGGTTGTTCCTGCCCACCTCGTCAAATACTGCATACAGTCTCTCGACGATTGGAATTTTAAATGGTTTTACTGTGTCCCCACGAAGATGGACAGGAGCAGCGTTTGTCCTCGGCAAGTATCGCGTTTCTATGCCTCAGGCAAGGCCATGATCCTTCAGCAGGTACCCCTTCTGCCCTCGATAAAACTTAATCAACACTCCGGAGCTGTTTTTGACTACAGTTTTCTCTTCCTGTTGGCTTCTCCCTTCCTGGACTCATCACGCATTGGAACAGCGACATTCAGTAAACAAGTCTAAACAAATGGCGACGACAAGCTTTCGCATGTCGGCTCTTTTAACACGAAGAACTTTTTTAGTGAAGGTCAAAAAAATTTAGTGAACTCGGAGAATAATGAAAATTTATCTAACTAGTAACTGTGAAAACAAAAACCTTCACTTTGAAGTATTTCGCTTAACTTTAGCGTATTTCTGACGATTGTTTAACTATACTTTGCTTGACACCGGTCTCTGCAATGGTTTCAATTAAAATTTCGCGCGGGAAATTTCCCCGGCCGGGACCGGATACGAGTGCATTGCGCATGCTCGAGCGTTTGACCGCGGTTAACGCGGGGGCTATATCGCGTACTTGCATGAAGTACAAACCAACGTCGTGGTACACTTTCACATTGGATTTCTTGAATTTGTGCGTTTTGTTTTTAGACGATCAGTACCGTAGATCAGTTGCAGCTCGTAACAAAACTGTAGAATTTGAGTTTTTCCTAATTTTGCACTCGTGCGAGTTCTGGCAAACAAACTTCAACAAGGAAAAACATGCGTTCCACGTGACCACTGTCTATTTTAAATACCAACATGGCGGACGCAAGTTGCGATAGGGACGATTTTGCTCAGCAAGAAAGATCTTTGAGCAGCAACCAGGCTGTCTTTCCAGATGAAGAAATTAAGCAAGAAGTTAAGCAAGAAGTATCAACTCCTATTCCCGGCTTTCCACCGTTGTTTCAGTTCGCGAAGGTGCAAACAGAAGCCTCTTCATGGACTTCCACTTCGTCGACAACAACAACTGCTACAGGTTGTGGAAGCTATGCAACATTAGACACAGAGACTAACGAGCAGCCAACAAGTTCAGAAACAGTTACTGCTGTTGAATCAAGCTCTATGGATGGATTGGGGTTGTCAAGCATTAGTGAAGCTTCTGATGTTGCTGCGAAAATGCAAGAAGAATCGTCTTTGGGCGACGACAAAGTTAACGAGGAGGGTGACAAAGATGATGGTAAATATGGTGAAGAGGTGGCAAACGACGAACCGGATGAGGAAGAGATTGAATCTGATCCTTATTTTTACATTAAACGGGATGAATTTACTTCAGAGATCTACAAAATTGAACTGCAAAATTTACCAAGGAAGTGTGGCTACAAGGTAAGTCACTGCATCTGTACTCGTAGAATGCGTGAAAAGAGGAAAAGGATCAAAATAATCTTTATAAAGGGCCACAAATAACTATTCGAATAAGATACCAAGATGGATGATATTGAAGTCAACCCTTAATAAGAGCATCAAAAGGATTTCATTGGTAAAAAGGCGCATTGAGATTTTTGAATCCACCATACATGTACAGTGTATGTGTAAGTGTGTTATTTAACAATTAATGAATGAGGCTGAGTATCTTATGAAGAATATTATGGAGATCGAGAAGGGTGCTCCGAGATCTCCATAATTCTTCATATGATACGAAAGCCGAATTCAATAACTGTTTTATTATTCATTCAAAATTATTCCTAGTTTAAAAGCAAAGCTAAAACATGCTTACCTCCATCGATGTAAAGTTCACCTTCGATAGTGCATGTTTAGGGTTGTTCAGCTCCACAAATATTCTCCAAATAGCAGATGTCACCCTACAAGTTGTGTTCTTGCCATGTTTTTAGCTATAATTTCGCCTAGTTCTTTTTTGTGAAACAAGTGAAATGTCCACCATTTTTTGTTTTCACAACCAAAACAATTATTCAACCTCGTCCCCAGGTCTTCTCGGTTAACAGTGCATTAACCTACAAGAATGCTGCATTTTTAACGTCATTTCCTCGTTAAACACAAAGTTCTTCCAAATTTGGTCATCAGTAACTGGTTATGGTGAATTATGTGTGTGCCTTTAGCCAGTCAGAATTGGGGAAATATTTTGAATGAATAATGATATTTTTTATTTGTCTCCCCTGGAATAAAATTAATACTGTAGCTGTTATCTCAGATGGGGTTTTTAATGATTTACAACACAAATTGCAGCAGGATCTAGCCATAAACCATGTTTTCCACTCCGCTGGAAAACAATAAGACATGGCTGCTACTATGTATGTTGCGATACATGTAAGTCACTGAAAAACATGACCTTTATGTGTTGTACAAAGCACACGCAAAACACAGTGTACAGTTGAAACTGGTCTACAGGTCTAGCATAGAATGACCAAATTTGGTGACTTGTCTTACACGTACCCATTCAGAACCTACGTTTTGCATTTGTACATACTTATATGTAAGGAATTTGTATAAGCCCAGATGATCAATCAACATTTTTCTTGTTCTTACTTAGCAATTCAAGAAAATGATTGCTAACCGGCTCAACGTGAGACCAGTGAAGGTGAAATTGCCTCCAGGAGCAACCCATGCTTATGTGACTTTCAGGTACAGTGTACCTTTGATATTAATGTACCATATATGTTGTAGTAGAAACAATACTTTGTGTGCACAGGGCATGAAATTAGCTTTTATTTTGCAAGAGTCAAGTAGTTCCTAAATACATGTGTATTTCAAAGTTATAACCAAATTCAACAAGTTGCAATTATTGTTACCCTTGTAGAGGCAACACTTTCTCAGGTTAAATCAGTATTTTAACCCTAGGCCACCATATTGAGAACCCATGCAAAAAGTTAACCCTGCACTGTCCAGGTGTAATGGTTTGAATACATGTACTTGTTTTACCTGGGAATGGATTTTATCTAAGACCACTATAGCCACTAGGTTTTTAAATTGATAATAAAATAGATGGTTTTACATGGGGCTTGTTTGATTGATCATAGAAATCACTTGCTCTGGCATTCATTGCATAGCAATATCTATAATTCTGCTCAAAATAAAATTAATATTCTGATCATGTTGAATGCAGCATTCTAGTGGGCCATAAAATCACAATATAAGATCGAGTGCACCCTTAGGCTAGTCCCAGCTGTAGCATTAAGAGTTATTTTTGTCCAAATGATGCTAGTTTATAAGCTAGCATCTCAAACATGTCAACCATGAGGGACAATATCACAATGATTAATGTTAAGTGCTACATGCAATTGACCATCTCCCTTATGGACCACCTTTCAATGTTGGCACTTTTCTATTACAGACTGTTCTCATGATCCAAAAGATACCAAAAAATGTCATAAAGCTTCTAGTACAGCTGTAGCTTGCATGTCAGGCATTTGTGAAAATGAAAACAAGCATTATATGGCTACAATTTTCTGAACTAAAATTTGTTATCCTTTACTCCATTCAGGAATGAAGAAGAAAGACGGGTGAGATGCTCTTTGTATTCCTCTGCAGTGTACTTTCTGTACCGGTATTCTACTCACATCACTGTGTAGTAAATTGATTTAATGGAAGACAACTTGAATGTGAGTTCTTTCTTTCAGTTGGCTATCAGATCATTATCAGGACACAAGTGGAAAGGAAAAGTGCTTTCTGCCAAGGTACATGTATAGTATATTATCAAGATGTGATATGGTAGCTTATTAAGTTATCAAGAAGTGGTCATTATACGGGGCAAACTGAACTGAAAATTAATTAATTCACTCAGTTTTCTAACCCTAACCACTCAACTTCAGAGTCGTTTGGTGGCCATTTGGTTTTCTGCAAAATTCTCTTTAGTGCAAAAAAATTCCTTTAATTAGCCACCACTGAAATTATTATTGTTTGAGGTTTAGCAGTGAAGCAATGCATCGGCAACCAGCCAAAATCACCATCAAGTCTAAGCAGAAGTTTACATGTGGTTTGAAATAAACCCAAAAATGTGGGTGAGGAAAGGTGCCTTTTTCATGGCTGAAATTCTTTCCCTGGTTTTTCAAAATGAACTGAAATGCCTTTTTCAGGAACCCCCCAAAACTTAAGATTTTGTAGTGGCAGCAGGGGCTTCATTAAAAATTGAAGTAGCCTTTTGGTTTGAATTGAGTAACCAAGCGTAATTTTTCAAATCCCTCAAATGAGATTTTCAGTGTTTTGCGGACTAAACTGAGGACAAGATAGGGTGTTTTTCATTCACGAAAATGTAACTTTCATTCAACTTTCGATTTATCAGTCACACAACCAATTCCTACCAGCAATGAACAAAATGATGAAAACTAAAAGTCTCTGCATACTTTTGCCTGTAAGCAAATTCTGTGTAAACCTACAGTATAAAAAAACTTGTGAAACATTTACTACAATCTAGCGTTCGCATGACTAAAGCATCCCTTAAAATCAGTGGTCCTTTATGAAAATACATCATAATTATGTTTTTTTTTTCAGATGTTGTGACTTTTTTTTTGTTTACAATGTTATTCAAACTATTTGCTTCTTCTTTCTAAAACAAGTAGCTGAAATCTATGAGCAAATTAGCCGATGCGTTTCGTTGGCTCTCAATGCTTATTGAAACCCCTGTGGGAGGCTTGCAGACTACCTCCTATGACAGAGGTGCAGGCCCCCCTCTTAATCCTACCCAGCTATGCTGACATGTCTTTTGATGTACGCGGCAATTACGTGCTATCTAGCCTCCTTAAATTTTTTTTTGGAGAACCCTATCTGTATCAAGTTACAGCAATTATTTATGTGAATTGCACTGGTATAAAATATATTATTTGTTGTCAAACAATATTCCTTGCAAGGTTTTCAGACCAGACCTTTTTAATTCATCTGTTCCTTTTTTTTTTCTAGACTGCTCAGCCGCTACCTGATCCACTAGCTGTTCAAAGAGCTGAAGGAATGGCAAGAAAAAGGATGATTCAAGGTTAACACAAGAGTTAAGCTTATGTGCTGTAATAATATATCAGCATGCATAAAATAATATTGTTCTCTCTTTGTTAAAGATGTCAATTCATTGTTGATCACTTCTGTGGCTTTTAATTCTCGTTAGCCTTTTCCATAACATTGATGGTCCTCAAGTTTCTAAAAATTCTGATGTAGAGACTAAAAAAGTAATATTATAGCGATCCATCTCTTTAGTGTTGCAACAGCTAAATTCTGGAACATATAATTACTGGACTGGATCTTCAGAACAGCATTTCTGATCAACAGAAGTTTTTTTACAAAATAAATCATCTTAATCTTCTTTTTCAAGGTCCCTCCTCTTCCCTTTTGGTAGAACAAGTGAGGGGGAGATACCCTGGTCTGTTCACGTGTGTCTGATAGTTAATCTAAAACACTACAAATTAAAGGCTTTATGAAGGGAAGGAACTTTACATGTAGTTTCAGGAGAGTGTAAAGTGTCAAAGGCCTCAATGAAAAAACTGTTTTTCACATTTTTCAGGTGATTGTTTTGTTGGTAATCGATCCCCTAGACTCCAAAAATATCTTGACTACCAAAATGACTACCCTCCATTGTCATGGTCAAAAGGAAAGATGCCAGAAACTTTGTGGAGATCAATGGTCTTAGTTGATAGAATCATAGTTGCATGTATATGTTGAATGGAAAGGCTGATCAGTATAAAGGACTGTAGGGTAAATTTGCACGATTGGAAAAAACATTATCATTCAAGCTCTGCTTTGTTACACTAACAGATGCTGCTCGTTCAAACATTGATGCCAAGAGGATTAAAGTAGATGATAATGATGAGGGTGAAGAACTTGCTATTTCTGTCAGGTAAAATTTACTTCTTCTGATGGATTCTGTTGCTGAAACTGCCATTAAAATTTGTCAGCATGCTGTCAATGCCAATTTTATACCTGCTTCAAATTTGTGGAAAACCTTCAAAGTACTTTGTAATTAAATATGAGCTAAAAGAAAGCAGTGCAGTAATGCATGGTTCAATTTCACCTGTTACTCCCTCAGCATACCCCTGGGGATTTGCAATTTTTTCCTTTCTTGGTGGCATATTCCCCACCCCTGGGCAGGCAAAAAGAGACAATTCCCCATCCCTGAGCTTCTCCTGAGCTTCCTACTGAAAAGGTGATGTCTGTGTAAATGTCAGTTTGGAAAGTCCAAACTCAATTTTGAATTCTTTCTGTTCCCAGGTTGAACCATGTTGTCACTCCATTGTGGAACCAGCCTTACAGTCAACAGATGGAAGTATGTAAACTCCAATAAGTTGGGTGTATTTTACACTGTGCTGGTGTTTTAAAACCTGTACATATCAAATGATACATACATACATGTATTACAATAAATAAACATTGCATACGTCTATTACAGTAAATATGAAATATTACATACATGTAATTTATTAATGTTTATTGTGCCTTAATTAATATTAATTTTTACTTTCAAAAGTTAGTTCGTGATAATCTGAGTAAAACTGTGAAAGGTTGAAAATCTGATTAAAGCTGATTATCATCAACAAGTGCAAAACGTTTCCATGCGCATGTGCATGGCCTGTGCAGAAATATTAACTAACTCTGCAGTGTTATTTTTTCATACACATGTACATGAATAGCATCTGAATTCTGTTTCAAAATTAAACATCCATTAATAGGATGTCCTGTAGAAGACAGTCATGTCAATCTGTCTATTAGGTGTCCATTTCGTACCAGGAATCAACCCCAGGTGTCAGTTTTAGGGGTATGTCACTCTTGAAGACGTCTCTTGTTAAGGGATAGTTGACTTCAACACCACGTCTATTATTAGTTCTGATGAAAGTTCTAACATACATGTAAGAAAGGTTTTTGGCTGACAAAAATGAACTTGCACTGTTTTTGCCTTTTACAAATGTAGATGAAGAAGAAAAATATGGTGGAAATTTTAAAAAAGCTCACCAAGAAGCTAAAAGCCATAATGGTGCTGAAGGTGATTAGATATGATAACATTATTTCAATTAAGTATTTTGAATTAAAAATCATTGTAGTTATCAGCTTTGTTTGATCACAAAAGGATGCAATTTATATTATGGTTTTTATACAAGGTATGTTTTAATAAATTGAAGACATCTACACTGACATACATGCACATGTATGTCTGACCAAGTCTTGCTTACGTACAGTCGAACCTCCACTCACGACCACCTCTCTACAAAGGCTACTTTTTCTGTGGACAGGCTAATATACACTGAACGTTGACTCTTGTTTAAGCCTCTCTACAATGGTCACTTTCTTCTGTCCCCAAGGTGGCTGTTGTGGGGAGGAAAAACTGTACTATTAAGTAGATCTATGTTGCACTTCAAAGTGAAATTCAGGTTAATTAACCAGTTTCAAACTAGTTTGATTCTCAATTTCCTTTGTCACCTAGCCTCAATTCTTTGTGATCAAAAATAATTAGGGCTAGTAACCTAAGGAAACTAAAACTCCAACTGGTTGAAACCTTTTAAACCTGAACTTCGTTTTAATGTACATGTACAACATCTACTCCTTCAAGGGTATAGTCTTTCTTATTAGGTCTGTCCAGTCGCCATGTCTGACTACATGTAGGATTTCATCAAACCGACTGGTAGTTTAATCAGACTTTGTCAGAGTGAGAAACATAACAGACTATTTTTGAAATGAATACAATATGATGAGGAGTGTCTTTCAAGTTGAAAGCAAACATTATAATCTAAAAATGCATAATATTATTAATTTATTTAAGACTTCATCTGTTCATGCTTGCTTCAATCCTAAGGTTTTGGCTATTGGGGATAGAACAAGTGTCCACTTCATATTGGGTGTTTTCTTTGAAATTATCATTCATGCAGTGGTTGACTTTGCTTATTCTTTGAAGTTGTACTTATCATGCCTTTTTCATTCCTTAGAATAACTGGGTTGAAGAAGAAAGGTAAGTGGGAATCAAAGAACCACTACATTGGAAGCAGATCTTAATTTGAGTAATTTTAAGATGCATTCTTCATTATAATTTTTTTGCAGCTGAAAATACTGTAAATGTGATTACATGTATTTTTTTGTTTTTAATTCTCTTTGTAGTGCCAAGAGAGATGGGCTTTGTTGTGAACTGCTTGATTGTGTTGAATCAGTGAGTATTTATGTAAATGATGTTGTGTCTGTTTTGATAATTATAGCTGTAGAAAGGCAAAGGATTGCCAAAACTGCAAGGAGGCCCTGCCAGGGTAAATTCCCACAAGCGACATGGCCCAAAAAGTAGCAACTGCGCGTAAAATGAAATTGCGNCCCCCCCCCCCCCCCCCCCCCGGCAGGGCCTCTCAAGCAGTAATTTTCATTTCTGTTTTTTTGTCATGAACACACAAAAAAACTGCTTACATCATGGAAAATAAAAGCAAGACGGTAATTTCCTTAATCTTCCATTCTTTTAATTCAAGAGTAAAATTTATTACAGGTGGAACCAAATTTCTTAGAAAAGAATCTGCTTGTCAGCCAAAAATAATTGATAATAAGAGTATTTTGAGTAGTTTGGTCTATCAAGCAAAAGTAATTTTTACTTGCAAACCCCTTGGAGCTGAGCTAGGAACTGAAGCTGAATAATCCTCATTGTATTTACCAGTGTCCTTGGACAATAATACTGTCATCATTTTGTAAGTAACCAACCTATGGGGAATACACTTGTGAACAGTGTTATTATTTGATGAGACTGATGAGGATCTAAAGAATTATGCATGTCATACTGCTGATGCAACCTCATACCCAGGGCTTTTCGGTTGTGGTCCCTTTTTCTGGCTACTTTACAGATGTACAGCCTGTACCATAGATGTCATTCTCACCAGTTGTAAAATTACAATGCAGGGTGTTCATTAGGCATTGGAGATCAGAGAATTCTCCATTTACTACACAGAATTCTCTGGTTAATGTTTGATAGGCTATGACTATTATATTTTTTTTCGTAGATGTGGAGCCTCTCTTTCAAAATGTTTTCCTGTAACATTACACCTTTCTCCTGCTACTAGAATTCTTAATGAAAACCCTGCAAATGTCTTCCTTATTTAGTCAATGTTAGCTGATTATACTGAATTAGCCAGGGAAATTGAGCCAGTCAGAAACAGAGAAATATTTTGAATGAATTCAATAATAATTAACTCTGTCAACCACAAAGTAATCGACATGGGGTTCCTGCATTCTCCTACAGACATTTCAAAGGTCTTTAAGTACAGTTGTACGTGAGGCTTAAACCTTCATTCTCTACAATGAAGTTCAATTAAAAATGTGATGGGCAAAACTCTGCATGAAGTCCGACCTCATCCCATCATTAATTTTGCTTTGAAATATTTCAGCCTGTTCTTGACGGCTATCGAAATAAGTGTGAGTTCACAATTGCTGAAGGCCCTGATGGAGGTAGGTTAAGTGTGCGTTCAACAGCTCACGAACCTCCAGAATGCTCATGTAAATAAAGAGCTAACTGTATAATGGGTGACAGGGCTGTTTTTCAAGTGAAGGATTTGTTGAGGACTGATGTCAAAACTGTATGTACACACTGATTTTGACTTTATTTATATACCTGTAAAGATTGATGCCATCTTTACAGCTTCAGTTGGTAATATCTCCTTCAGTTGTACATGTACGAGATCTTAAATTATTTTTTTGAAATGCACCAAAGGCCTCATTAGTATTATTCATATTCAGCATTGCCCTTAATTCGTAGTATTTCTGTTTTTTTTTTTTAAATATGATATTATTGGGAGAAAAGGATGCCTTTTTGAGAGAAATTTCAGAGAAGATAAATTTTTTGATCAAATAGCATAATTCCCAGCAAAGTGGATCTCCCAACAGTTGATCCATCCTGCAAAAAGTAATGCCATTTGCAAGTTGACCCTTATATGCAAACTCCATAAAACAAAAAAATGTCTACTCCTGCGTGGTATTTCCACAGGGATTCCACACAATATTGCACATATTTGCACAGTTCTTTAGAAGGTGTACGTTTACATCAAAACCACTGACTTTAAGCCATTTTCTTTCTCTTTTTTTGCGGCAAGCATGGGTGGTGCATTGGTGAGAGCTCTCACCTCGCACCAATAAGGGCGGGGTTCAGATCCCGGTTTGTGGGTTGAGTTTGTTGTTGATTTTCTCCCTTGCTCTAAGAGGTTTTTTCCCCGGTTACTTTAGTGTTCTCCTTAAAAACCAACACTTCCAAATGCCGATTTGATCTGAATGCACAGACACTTTTAAAGGAGTTTTTAAGAACTTCTAAGCACTCCATGGGTAAACAAATTACAATTTTATTTATAATTATTTGTACATTTTTTGATATTTTTTAAATGTTTTTTCTCTTGTGTAGCTAAAACTGTTGGATTCCGTCTTGGGTCATATAAAGGTAAGCCTAGCTCTTTTGAGTTATTGTCTGTGCTGGGAACAGACTTTTTGTCAGTTTTGTTAATTAATACTCAAAATGATAAATTCAAGACAAGACAGGAGAGTGATTGTCTGTTAAGGGTGCTAATTGGAACATTTTGAAAACACAGCGGAGAGATATGGTAACAGAACTTGGCTCAAACTCATTTTCATCCTAAGCAAGCCCTAGGATTTCAAATGCCATGGATAACAATTTTTTTCGCAGCTTAAGATGTGCAGTCAGGACTTCTGAGAACACGATCCAGTGAACAGGCTGGGCAAGGTGTGAACTCAGGTTCTCTGGGTCCCTGTATCCCCTTAAGAAAATACAATGAATACCTCCATCATTTCCAAAGGAAAGTCGCCCCAGGGTACATGTATTTAACCCTCAACCCAAATTAAGTTGATACAAGTACTGGATTTAATATTAATTTTATATTAAGGCATGGTTTGAATCCAGAAGTCTTGTCATAAGTAGGGGGAGTTTGGTGGCTTGAGCGAGTATAATCCTGAATTATAATAGGACTATAGGTGTTTGTGACTGAGGTTTTTGCAATCTGGGTTGGGTTGTTTAAAGGTGGGTTAAGATAATGCAGGGTTAGTGCGAAATTTGAAATCAGATATAAGAGCTTAAAAAACAAATTCAGTTTAATTCTCTTTGCCTACAATTTGGTGATTGGATACTCTAAAAAATATAGAAAATTATCTGGGAGAGTGCTTTTCATGAAAGGAAAAAGATGCGTGGGTTAAAATTTAACCCTGGGTTAGTGCTAACCGGCATTCAAACAACTGAGCCCTGATGAGTACTGCACAGGTTGTTAAGCCATAAGGAGTCAGTCATTGTCTTCATGACTAATAACTTTACCAGACAATTGTTGTCCTCTCTATTTTACCTTGTTCTTGCAGAGGGTTACAGTGGAGTAGTTGAGCCGTCTCAATGTATCCACATTTCGGAAAAGGCCAAAGTCATTGCTAAGGTATGGAATTTGTGAGATTAAGAAGGCTTCAGTTTGTTCAAGACTATTCCCCTCACTCCAATGCAATAGACATTTATATGACATGTATATCACAAGCAACATAGGTTGCGTTCCATTGCGAAATCCGGATTTAGATTTTGAAATTCGGATTTCACCGCCAAGAAAGCTGTCCTCAGGGTGGATTTCTTAATTATTAAGAAATCCAAATCCGGATTTCATGGATTTTCCGATTGGGAAATCTGAAAAAGGATTTGCAACACTATTCTCGTGAACAGCAGTCTTCTTTTTGCTGATTATGCATGCACATGCAAGACCACTGTTCTTAGGGACAGTTTTTCAATTCCCTTTTCGGATTTCCCAATCGCATGGAAAAAAGGAAATCCAAAAACAGATATTTCAGCATTGAAATCCACTTTTGGATTTCGCATTTGATTGCAAATCCGAAATCCGGATTTTCAAATCTAAATCCAGAGTTCCCAATCGAATACACCCATATTGGAAGTTATGGCACCAAATCTTGTATAAGGTTTCTATTCTCTCTTTTCTCTGTCACATCATCAGAAATAAAAATGCAAACCATTCAATACAGAAAGTCTAGAATCTGGGAATTGAAAGTCTTTAATTGAAATAAAAGGTAGAAGTTTTAATTTGTGGCATTATGTTGAAAACTGAGAACCATAATGTTTTGTTGCAGGCATTTGAGAATTACATCAGGCAGTCTCCGTTGCCTGTGTATGATCTCTGCTTTCACACAGGGTAAGTTAATCTTAATAGTAGTGTAGGACTTGTTTGAATTGACTAGACAAAGTACACTTTGCTAGATTGCTGAATTGGTCATACTGGTTTGAGTGTATGATCTCTACGTTGACATTGGGCTGCTTGGTTGGTTTAAGTTAATTAAGAGTCTTGAAAGCAGTAGTCTTCATTTTATTATTTTTTTAATTCCTGGCTAGTGTACTGTGTAAAGGTAACTTTGAAACAACTATGGAAAGGGTCCCGACTGTGTTTTGCTTATGAAAATGGCTTGGCAGTGTGGCTGAGTGGTCCAAATGATATTCTGGCAACAGAGAGGCCTTGAGTCCAAGCAAGCTGGATTTGTTCTCAGAAGTCCTGAGTTCATATTCTCAGCTATGCTTGTGTATAGACAACTTCTTCGTCTCCAGCCAGTTAGAATTCTTATTGCTAGAGGGGTTTGTTCACTTCCCAAAGATTGATATAAATACTGCCCAAAGGAATATTATTCTAGTCAATATTAAACATAAATAACTGCTGAGTATGTACCTGATAATGAACAATTATTGAATGAGGTTTTTGTGATATCTGGAATAATCAAGGTCGCATGAGTTATCAGCTGCGCTGAAGGTGGAGGCTGATAACACTTACCGAGACCTTGGTAATTTAGGATATCACAAAAACTGAATCTAATAATTGCCTTATTATACATTGTTTTGAAGAAAATAACAACAAACACACTGTAGCAAGGAACCTGAATTGATATTGTTACTGGAAATCATGCATTGCGCATGCAACCTACAGGTTACGCAGTTATCTGCTAGCAGATAACTGAGTAACCTGTAGGTTGTGCTGGTTTCCAAAATTAGCTGTAGGCTCTTAGCCTATTAGAAGACAGGTAGTGAGTACAATGTGTATAGATCTCTTTTATGTCCTCCCTGTGGTCGTTGCATAGAGCCAAGCCCTGTTGTGTTGTGTCATTAATTCTGAATGTGAAATCCTAGTTCAGTTCTTGTTGCACTCTCTAGTAATGGCACACTCTGTTACATGTAAGAACCAATCATTAACTAGAGCCATGGTTTGTTTATGACTCCTCTATTTTGTCCTTCATACTTGCAGCTATTGGCAGACCCTAACAGTTAGGACATCTATGTATGGCCACACGATGGCAGTTCTGCAGTTCAGTCAGCAGAAAATGACCCAGGTAAAATGTTTGAATTTTCTTCTCATTTTGTGCCTGTCAGATTGCTAATACAGCCGTCTCCAGCTCGGCAAGGAGCGAAGGAGGACAGCTGTATTCACAGTCAGGCTACTTATTTTGTTAGCCAAAAGTAATATATTATTGTAAAATGCCTTGTGTACTTTATTAGGCTGTACATGTACTTGAGCATGCCTTGTTTCAGGCCTTCAATGTTGTTATTAAATTTTTAATGAGGCAGCATGGCCGAGTGGTTAGCATGTTGGACTCGCAATCCGGCAGTCCCGGGTTTGAGTCCCGCTCTGGCCACTTGCTGGATTTATTCTCGGTTGTCCCGAGTTCAAATCCTCGGCCACGCTTGTAAATAGCCAACTGGTTGCCTCCTGCCATTTTGGGTTTTTAATCCTGTTATGTTGTATTTAAAATTATTTTTTTGTAAGTATTTGAGTGGAATGCCTGTAAACTAGCTGGATAAGCTAAGTGCACTTTCCACTATAAACAAGCCTTTAAGCCTTTTTATTTATATTATTCTTTTTCAGGAAGAAATTGAAGCGGAGAAAAACCGTATCTGTGAGTATTTCAAGACTGGGGAAGGCAAAGAAGTTCAGCTCACATCCCTTTATCTTCAAATAAACCCTACAAGGTTTGTGTTGCTTAAATTATGAATCATTATTATTTGAGGATAGCTTAAAACAACTGCATGTCAGTCAATTAGTGGCTCCCAGTTATGTGTTTGTGATTGTTATCCTATAGTATTATTCCAGTGTTGTCACCAGGATTTTGCCTTGGGGAGTCCCAGGACCCCCTTTGTTGAGAAATAAGGGCACTGTAAGAACATTAGGGGGACAAAGTTACTCGCGACGTACAATTGGTGTGGAAAAATTCTTTGTGATTCTTCGTGATCTGTTCGTGAATTACTTACGAGATCCAATATGGCAGATAGGGTGTTTACGATTCGATAACGGTGCATGCACTAATCGTCACAATGTATGAGAGACCAACAAAAGTAAGGAAATAAAATTGAAGACTCTGAATCTTTTGATATCATGTTTTTTTATTCATACAACCAAGCAAAATGCTGGGATGTTAGGTTGACCATTAAAACTACATGTACATAACTGTAGACGTTCTAAAGTCCGTTTGACTTGTAGCATGCCCCTTCGCCCTAATAAGCACATCCCCTTGGTTTTTTATGCGCCATCTCAGATTTTCTTGCGGGAATTCCACAAGCCCGCGGCCTGGTGAGAACACTGATTATTACCTACATAACTTGTTGATTTTATTAGTGCTGGTGTGATTTCCTTTGCAGGGCTGTTGGTGGTAATGCAGAAGCTCCTTTTGTACACATCATGGGTGAAGAGGTGGGTTCAGCCATATTCCTTACTGGACCTTTAAAGCAGAATGTAGGGCTAAGGCTTTTGAAGGAAAGGCACGCTTGAAGCAAACATTTTAAATCCTCTCTGAGATGACATGAAGATACTCCTCTTTGCTAAGAACTTGAAGCTATACATGTTTGTCCCTGAGAGACCCTGGTCAAAAAACTTTCAGTAATATGCAATGTAATTAGGCCTGGGTTATTATAAACGATGTTTTTATGTGATTCGTTAAAGGAAATTTTTTTGACAAATGTACCTCCCTCAATATTTTTTTTTTTTTAGCACATTTATGAAGAGCTTTGTGGACTGAAGTTCAGAATCTCTGCAGATTCGTTCTTTCAAGGTAAGCCTGTTAAAATGATTTGTATTGAAAGTTGAAATTCCAGTAAGGATAAAATATTGTTTGCTTCTCCCTTTAGTAATGTCACTATCATCACCGATTAATTTTTTATTTATTTTGCCTGTTGAAATTGTTCACTGTGCGAAAATTGAACAAACACAAAGAAAATGCAACAAATGGCAAAACAATTTGAGCTGGGTTGTTGTTGTTTTGGATTTAATTATGATCGTTTGGTTTTCTCTTAGTTAACACAAAGGCAACTGAAAAGCTGTTTGACTTGTTGAAAGAATGGTGTGGGGACAACCTGGATGAGACAGTGGTACTTGGTAGGAAAGAACAATTTTATTCAGTAGAGGGGCGTGTTATACGCAAATTAACGCCCCCCTCTCCAATTCTATTTCTGCCCCTAACTCTTCTTTCTAGGCTCTGTGTTTGACTTGATCAACATTGAGTTTTAGCTCAGATTGATTTAACTTTCCAAGAGACTCAGCTGAAATTTTTCCTTTGCATTTTCTGTGTAACATAACGCACTCAAAAGGAAAGAGAACTCAAACGAGTATCGCGTATGATGGACTGAACTGCTTTATGACGAAACGACAGAACCGGAACATCTTCAAGTATGGCCAGGCAGTACTTCAACGGGGGTACATGTTGTGCTCCATGGCAAGAGTAGTGTCCCCACCCTCCCCTGGCTTTGGCGCGGCCTCTGTTCTGTTTTGTTCTTAAAATGTTTAAACTGACTATGGAATAGCGAAATCTAACTTTAACTGGTTTTCTTTAAAAACACTATGTTGTATCCAACACAAAAGTGACACTTAACAGTCGTGTGACTGTGGAACGATTTGATTTTTTATTCTATATTTCCTTTTTCCAAGACATTTGCTGTGGCACTGGTGCACTTGGACTTTGCTTAGCTCAGGTACTCGTTTGTTACATCATTTACAGCAAATTATCCAACAGCAGGACACTAGGGCATTTTTCTCTCGTTTCAGTTTTTGTATGTGGCAAATATATTCCACCTTGCTCTGCGTGTTGGTTCAGTTATGTGCTACATCAAAACCGTTCATTTATCACCACATTAACATAATCTACACGTATGCTCTATTCACTGCATGTATAGCCCTTTGACTCTTTCACTGCCAGAGTGTTTGATGGAGTTTTGTAAGGTGACTATATCTTTTGAGTCTGTGGACGAAATCCTATGATGTGACCATTTAAATGAAACCTCTCTGCCTGTACTTTAACATGGTGCTATTTGTTTGTCAAAATTTTAAAAAAAGAAATTTTGGAAAGTTGGTCAAAATTTGCCTTTGGCCACATTTGGGAAATTTCTTTGTTCTTTTATCAATTTTTTTCAGGAAATGTATGGAGATCCATCTGTATGAAGTATGTAGAGATTGGGGCTTAATTAAAGGGGTGACTTAACAGACACGTCAAAACCGATTGTTGAATTTATGATTTTATCTTTCAGAGTGTTAAACGTGTGATTGGCGTTGAAATCATCGAAAACGCTGTTAAGGATGCCAAGGCAAACGCAGAACTCAATGGTGAGTGACAGTCTCTTGCAGTTTTCCGTGACTCCAAAACCCACCTTATGTAGACTGATTAATTCTGTCATCCAGTTGTGTAAGTGTGTTCTCAGCGTGCAAAAAAAGAAGTGTGGCCGATAGCCCGGGGCTAGTGGATTTTGCTATCGGGCGGGGTTAGTGAATTCTGTTTTTAACTTGCCCGACGGGCAAGTGATGTTTTTTGAGAAAATCGAATACGAGAAGAACTGTGAAATCAATTCTGCTCATCAAAACGATTTTGGGGCTAGTTGAAATGACGTCTGGGCTAGTAATTGCTAGCTTCAGCTTGCCCAAATGGCAAGCTGTAAAAATGATTTTCTTTGCGCCCTGGTTCTGTCGATACATTGTTGAGGGTAACCTACGATGGACTAACATCTCATTAAACGGGGAACTTGTGAGGGAGAGGGGTGGGGGGAGCGGGGGGTAGCAAAGGGGGTTAGTGACAGCCTAGTAGCCTGACCCTCTCACCGTTTTTCCCTTTCCACGCCTGCCACCTGGGCCATACTTGTACTATCTTGAACAAAATACATGTAGATGAAAAATATATCTCTCCTCTCCTCTCCTCCAAATGAAGGAACGGGGTCTTCCATTCCGTTTCATTCTGGGCCTATTTGTACTGAAACCGGGATTAACTTTGGCCCAGTGGGCGTCATTGCTGGTGTGTGCCTTTACATGCATTGTGCGCCAAATATGCCATGAATTTGTTTTTTTTTTGTTGTTTTAGTAAGAATGCCACTGAATAATTTACCTGTACTGTATTTACTATAGGCGTCACAAATGCTCAGTTTGTTTGTGGTAAGGCAGAGGACATTATCGTTGACGTGTTCAAAAACATGCCACGTAAGACAAAAATCATTGGCATCATGGACCCACCTCGTGCTGGACTGCGTAAGTAGAATTAAGCAACAATAATGAATAAAGAATAAAGCAGACTCAAAGATTTGATTTGTGGGTGGCCTCCCGAAATGATATTTTGTTGAGGGGCGTTTCGTACCGACCCAAAGAAGAGGTAACCATCTAGACAACGATTGTCTAGTCAAAAGATGAAAGTTTAGAATCACTTAGCACAGTGTGGTAAAAAGGAATGGCCTTACCTGTAAGTTAATTCATAGACTCGAAAGCAGAAACCACAGTTCCACAGGAAACTAGTTGTCACTGATTTTCATTTCATCTTTACACATAATTTAGACACCGACCAAACTACGCCTAACGAAAGTCTGGTACTGGACAAAAAAAGCTTCAACCAATAAATAATTTCGGGTCACCCATCCGAATATTGTATTATATGGGTGGCCTAAATTCGTGTGAGTTTAAAAACAAAAATTGACTTCACTTGACGTATGTGGCTTACCACCGAAATTGCGTCCAGGCTCCCTCCTCTTGTATGAAGAATAGAAACTGGAGAGGCCGTAGTAACGAGGTTGGCTGGTACTTGTGTTTGTTAATGTTGTGTATTTTGTCTCACAGACCAGTCAGTTCTTGCAGCTGTCAGGAAGAGCCGTCGAATGGATAAACTGATCTACGTGTCTTGCAACCCAAGTGCAGCTTTCGTTAACTTTCTTGAGTAAGAAATCTGTATTTTATGCTAAAGAATATTAAAGTATGGTTATCTTAGTCGTGGAAGTCATCACCGTTCTTCGATGTTTCCCTCCCTATTTGTCATGCTTTACGCGACGTCTCCCCTGTTCATAACCACTGCCCAGAGACTGAAGCTCGTCCCCAACTCTCCCTCCCAAGATAACGAACCTTATTGTCGGCTATTACTGCTGTGAAGGTTTTGTTTGTTTGTTTCTTTATTGTATTAATGTTATTATTTCATAAGAGGAAGGAATATACAGTCGAACCTCTTGTTAGCGACTACCGGGCTGAAAAGTTAAGATTTTGGAGGAAGCTTTCGGGATTTCCTCGCTGCTGTGACTGGGGAAATGTTTTGTTGGTACTGAACTGAACTGTATAGTGGTTGGTTGCTTAAGTGAGGTGGTCGCATGTCGAGGCAAATAAACTGAATCGTTCTTAGTCATTGAACTGCACAGATCGTTTTTAGGCAGGTCTAATGTGTACCTCTTCTTTCAGTTTGTGCAGACCAACATCGAAGAGAATCAAAACAGCACCATTCAGGCTGGTGAAAGCCGTCCCAGTAGATCTGTTCCCGCACACCAAACACTGTGAACTGCTGCTGTTGTTTGAGAGGGACATGACGTCAGTTGACGCCGCCAAGTTTTACAAGTGGTACTACTAACTGACAGGCTTTATGTTATCAACACGCATCTTCTCATAACCATTGCTGATGCATTTGTTTTGGTCTTGATAAGGGGGATCTTTTTACAACTCATAGCATCCTTGGTGATAAGTTTCTGATATGTTTCATATATAACCATTATATATATGTTTTTGAGCAGTGATTTTACAAGGTCAAATTAGATTTTCAGCACAATTAGGATTTGAAAATTTTACAAATTTTTTTAAGTCTGATGACTAGCTTGTTCGCAGGCTCTTTCTCTCAAAGACGAGAGAATCTAGTGGCGCCGGGATTTTTAACCTCTCCGTCATCAGTATTAACTAATGTTTGACTTGTTAAACTGTAATAGGTGTGTTTTATTAAGCTTAGGTAAATTGTTTGAGGTTGTTCAGTAATGTTTCATTTCGCTATTGGGTGTTTTTTTTTTTGTGTGCACCTAAGTTATATAATCCTTTCGTGGAAGTTAGATTAAAAAGTTGGTTAAAAGCAATAGTTGTTTTAAACATGTGTAATTTGATATGTTGCATCGACGATATGTTACAAAACAAGCGACAACTGAATACCGACTTTTCACTTTTTAGGACCCTAGACTTAATCCAGTAGCTTCTGAATTTACTACCAGTATACTCCACTTTGCAAGGGGACTCGCTTTCCTTATGACTTGCTAATACAATCGTTTGAACCTCCATAGTATATGTTATACTTCAATATTTCCTTTGATTCAGCTTTGATGTTGTTTTTTTTTTATTCTTTTTACATCATCTCTATGTTCTACAAAACCGTGCCACAGAATAATTGTTTTTGCAAACGAAGGTGAACCGAATTGGCTGCTCGGTTTAGCAGACGTTCGTGGTGAAGGAACACGTAACGTAACCCTAAGAACATCTTAGTGGCACCGAGCTAAGTGCAATTTGAAGCAGGAGAAAATAGAACCATATTATAACGTGTAATATCAAACCGGAAAATACTTTAATGATGCACAACTTCTACCCTATAAATCACGGCGTTTAGGATAATGTTCGTATCGTAGCAGTTGTACTTAAAAAGAAGGACTCGCACTGACCCACCCATATTTCTCTGTTTCTCTCCAGGTAAAATGAAAGCTCCAAACCAAGGCATTCTTAACCGGGTGAAGTTGATTTTTTATCTAGGTGATTTTCGGGCTAGCACATACCTGGAGAATTTCGTGATCAAAATTTTATTCGTTAAAAATTTTTTTCAAGTATTAATCTTTTCAGCATTGCTCTCACTGATGGTGTGCTCGCAAGTAAAAATATTCTTTAAGTGTTTCTCGCGAATGTGATCTAGCAATCAAGACATAACGGCATTCTAAGCGCAGTTTAGTAACACGAATGTCTGTGAAATGGTGTGTACCCCTAGAGTACAGTTGATTTAACTTCGCCCTTAGTTGTAAACACCACATAGTAGCTCTTCTTCAAGTCATTTGCGTATCTATTGTTACATGTACGTGGCTGTGATTACCGCCATTATTGTTGACGTTTCTCTTGTTTTCGAGAGGAGCATTCCTCTCTACGATAGTTTTAACAACACAAAGAAGTTTTACCTTCCGATTTAACCGTATTTATATTTGTTAGCACTCGCGATCGATGATTTTTTTTTCTTTTATAATTGTATCTGTTTTTGAAAAAGTGATATGTTAAATTATCTTACACTGCTTACTTGTTAATTTTTCTGGCACAAAACCATTTGGTAGAGTCCCTAATAAATGTGTTTTGTTAACATGATTGGATTGATTTATGTTGTCTTGTTCTGGCTTGTAACTTTCTTTGAAAAGTGCGACCACAATATCCTTGTTAAAATAGACTGACTTTGTACTTCTCTAACTTTTTCCCAGCCTAACCCATGCATGATGGCCCCAAACCTCTAACACGCCCCTAGTCCACTCCTAGGAACCAAAAATTTCATGATCCCTCAGCCTCTATTAAAGGGATTAAAAATTTCACCAATATGTAGTGCTAACTTAGACAACAGAAATGGGTTATCAAATACGAAGGCCTGGTATTGCTGCAAGTTGTTATAATGGCACGACAAAAATGCCAGAAACTGTATTTGTGCAAGGGCGAATAGAATGGAAGTGTACTAAATCTTGAAAAGCTCGGGCCGAAAATTCAAAGTGTGACTAAGAAATTGTAGGAAAAACTCTCAACGGTCTTATTGGTGTTATGGTTTTCTACCTCCCGAGAAAATGAAAAGACGTCTTTATCTCTTTCTCCTAGCCCATTTTTGCATTAGCCATTCATAATTCTAACCTATACACAAAATCGAGAAAATTCTCATTCTCACGCGAGAAAAAACATCTGGTACCCAGGGTAACATGACCCGTACACTCCGTCCGAAGAAGAGTGCATTCACGGAAGCGCTAATACAATATCGTTTTCATTTCTCGTCCTTTTGAGACCATGGCTTTATGTTTGGAACTAAATTGACATTTTCAAGGAAGGAAAATCTTCGATCTATAATAAAGCGAAGTTTTAAGGCGATTGGAGTGGAATTAAGCTATTTTTTTTTTTTTCGCATTTTCTTCGGGTAGCGTAAGACAGCGGAGTTTTCCTTTTTCTTCTTCTTGGTAGGTGAGAAACCAAAACATCAGAACTTACAAAAATGGTGTTTATAGGGCCGGAAAAAGTAAGAAAACAACATAGACACAACCCGACATGAGGTATGTTACCTCAAATGTCAGTTTATGCGCATTTTTAACCGTTTTATCGATTTTACAATAAATTTTCATACAAATTATAATTTGACTTCCAGTGGACTGTTCCGTGTCTAGGTCGGTATCCATGATTTTTGGAATGTCAATTCAACTGTTTTTTTATTGTTTTTAGTGTACATTCTTAAACTGAACCTCATCACAAAGCGACATGGTGAGTGGTCTTTTGTGTGGGTTCCAAAACTGCTTTGGTGTGAGTTTGTATGTCCATTTCCTCCATCCATTCATCTATATTTCTTTTCGTTTCTCCGGTTTACGCTTTGCCGTTTTAAAGAACAGAAAGCCTTCCTTTTTTTTTAGTTAAGAATACAAGTGAATATTCTAAAGAGATGAAAGGAAGGAAAATTTTTAGAAGGTACTTACAGTAGAACTTGTTTTGCGCTTTAGAGCGACAGTCCCCTAAAAGTAACGAAAGCCGTAGAGAACCGTTGTAGGGCGTGCAGTGTAGGCGCGCGCAAATTACGTGAGTGGTAATCACTATGGAGACCAAATTTTGTTTATGATCAGAGAAAAAAGAAATAATGTATAAAAGCATCGTTATGGAAAATCATCGATAATCGAAATTTAATTCAATTGGTTTGATTCAGTTTAACTAAAAAAAGTAAGATAAAGAAAATGCTTTTCGAGTGGTACCATGTTTACAAATCACATAAGTCTGTTAGTTGAAAAGATCGCTCACAGGAAAATGACTTGAAAGATGAAAACTTTCTATTAAAAATGCAGGCAATTCCTACCTTTTTGTTGAGTGGTTCGCGTTTAATATAACGTTTTTCTTCTCTTGAGTCGAGTCTACGTGGCGAATGTACTCTGTTATCCTAGGAGAGAAAAGTTTTCGTTCCCGTCAGAAAAGCATGACTTGTTCATTGCCTCACCACGACCACAATAATTATTTGACGTAACAATGGCGCTTTTAACTTTGCGCGTGCATTAGAAAATCGTACCCAGTTTTCTAACGATGGTCAGCAGAAGCCCATCCACAGTATCGGTTTTGAGTTTACTGGTTTAATGGCCGTCTGTCTGGTTTTGGTTCATTTTTAAGACAAATCGCTATTGCAGAAGTCGAACAAGCTATTTAGCGAAAAAAAAGTACAGAAACTAATATTTTTGTTGGTTTGACTGTTGTCGTTTCACAGTACAGAGTGAGGTTTTCATTTTCTCAGGAAAAAGTAGCGTAAAATTTTTCTAAAAAGAACTTAGTCTGCGAAAATACCGTAACATAAGTTTAGGTTGCATTATATTGGGATCAACCTTGGACTTTTAAGGAATACTTCAACTAATTTGTGTTAGCTGTTTTAGATTAAAGCAACCACTTAAAACGGCGTACATGGAGTTAAAAAGGTCAGAAAAAGGAGCAAAACTGGACGGATGGCGTGAGAAGGTTAGTCATAAAGAATTTCACTTCGTTGCTTACGTCCTTGGCTTGAAAGACAACTTGCTCTGTGTTTACCATTGCGCAGCCTTTGGTAGCCTGGGTCAGCGAAACACTTCAGAGTGAGTTCCCCCAACCCAATAACTCCCCCCGAAAATTGGCCGGCTTACCACGTGGACAGTCACGTGCCACATTTTCACCCAAGATCCTTTGCGTACATCATAACACTTCAGCGTTCCACGTGGACGGAGCTTTCGTGAAGGAGGTGATTTACTTTGGCAATTATTCCCTTTTTTCACTTGAAATTTGCAAAGTATTGTATTAGTCACGTTACAAGTGTAAAGGGAAAAGCTTTCTCTTTTTTTTGTAGGTGTGTGATGTCTCTCTGTCACCCTAAATTAATGGACACGCTGTTTAACATGGCCCTAGCACCGACGGCTTTACAGAATCGTCCGGCCAAGTAAGTTATCTCTGTTTAATCATTTAGAAGGTAAAATGTCATGTCTTAACGTCAATACAAAAACTTAACCAAACCGGCAAACATTGTATGGGTGACTCCAATTTTAAGACATTAGTTTGAAACTATTTTCATTGAATTTGAAAATCGGACACGCGGGCCGTTTTTGAATTTCGCGGGTTTATATCTTTTTGTTTACCGGGGCTCATGCTTTCACATTCATGCAGAACTGCCTCAGAAAATTGGGAACATTCAAAACAAGAACATAATAAAAAGCAGTCTACCCAATTAGTTCTAGCCAGACGCCATACATGATTTTTATTGACTTGATGCGAAAGCGTTGTCAAATAATAAATGTAGATGTAGATAATTTGTACTGTTTTTGTTTCAAGTAACTGTTTGTGTGACAAAGTAATAACAGTCCAACCATATAAATAGTAACTAAAAGGTAAGGCTACTTAATACAGTGGCACATCTGGATTTTTTTTAGGGACAATACTATTTCTGAGTTAACATAATTTGTGGCTGATTATATTAATTTGTTTGTGTTACCGTTTCATTAAATTACACCAGTATCAACATGTGCTTTTGAAGCTATCATCGTGTCACAACAACATAAATGATACATTCTAAACAGTTTTTTTATAAAAGTAGTTTATTATAAGTGGCAACTTGCCCTCTTCACCCCCCTGATCAAGGTTGAAAGAAAAAGAAGTTGTTTATCAGATGTCCCATGTTCAAGTTTGCCTTTCCCTGTGAAAGTGGCAAAAATTGTTTTGTATGCCAAATACATCACAGAACTTACATAGAATTCCTTTCCTAAAAACTTGCAATTACAAATCTTTAAAACTGAGAGCATAAGCTTAAAGTGAATGCTACTTTAATATGCTCAGCTGCTATGTGGCATTGAATTAATCCTTCTACCCAAATGAGGACAGTACATTGTATCTTTTGTTTTGGCCATTTGGCAAGTAGCTCCAATGCTGTTGTCTCATTTACGTGGACATACAGTCGACTCCTGATAACTCAAAACTTCAACGGAAATCGAAAACAGTTCAATTTATCGGGAGTTTAAAGTAAATAATCAGAAGTAAGGAAATGGGATGGGGGAGGAATGCAAGTATCATGTACTTCAAGGGCAGCAAGAGGTATATTGATATTTTGAATAAGAAATTGAGCAGCAAAGCTGGATTAATCAGTACAGTGCTAAACATTGTATTTGAATTGGACTGACAAAAAAGTAAAGAAGCTTAAAGAGAAATAATACACAATTGTTTTGAGAGAAATTCAATGTTTTGGACCGCAGTTCACTGCATTTTTTTCAAAATTACTGTCACATGCTTAAAACATGGTTTGAGTATTGGAGGGTAAGATTGTGTAGAAATGATCTGAAGGGAAACAAAAACTACTTTGAGTTAGCGGGAGGTTTGAGTTATCAAGAGTTTGAGTTACCGAGGGTAAAATACAGTAAATGTATGAAGGAAATCCTAGGGAAATCATTGATTTTGGTGCGAGTTAGCACAAGGTTCAAGTTAGCAAGGGTTTGAATTACATGTATCAGGAGTTAACTGAAGGTCCCTCTTGCATGGAATCCTTCTTTGCAACAAATTTTTTTCAACGCTATTTAGTATTGTTGGATGGTTACTTAACAACATACTAAAAATCTGCCAAAATCCATTAGGTGAAGCATGAAAAAAATTAGCAATAAAAATTTTCAACTTTCACCACAGGAAACCCAATTTCAGGAAAATCCCCAATTCAGACAAAAGTGTGATAACTGAGTTTTTTTAATAAGAATCTTGTATACAACATCGCTAATGTCTTTTGGGTAGTTTTGTTTTAAAAAATGCTGAGTAAATGTGTCTGAAAAACTTGGGTCAGTGTTTTGTCTTGACAGCTTTGCACAGGTTACACAGCCACAAGTCTGTCTTCGCATTCTGTCTCTGTTTTTTTTTTCTGATGATGTTTAGATGCAAAATTGTAAGACAACTCATGTTAGATGTAACTGTTTAAAAATATTAATAATTGGTTTTTTTTGCTTAATAGCCGAAATGCAGTATGTATTTTAGCAGTTTTAGTGGCTGGTATTTTAACTGCAACCTGCAGTCTGTTGTTTGTTGTAAAATGACCAGACCTCAATCTTAAGGTCTCTATTGATAGCAAACGTTTTTCAAGAAAGCAAAATGTCTCACCAGACAATGGTATTCTATTTGAAACTTTTCATATTACACCCAGGAGACATATTTATTTGACACAAGCTGTTATTTTGTCATCTACCAGCAATTTCTTCGCTACCATTGCCACACTTTGTAACAAACATGCAACCTCAAGTAAAAAATATGACTAACAATTACTTTTTTCGCCTCCGCCAACACTCTAATGGTTCTCTCAGGAAACGTATGGTTTCTTCAGCGGGTTCAACTGAGGTCATGTCTGTAGGTTGTACTTGGTTGATTTTGATCCATCTTGTTGATTTTGTTCTGTGGTAATTATGATTGACAACTAACTTTCTCAGAATGTACATTTATTAATTTTTCCTGTCATCCAATTGGTCAACCTTGTTTAGGTGGCCCCGGTTATAGTAGTCACTCTGTAACCTTTGCGCTCAGTTACGTGAATTTATGCTCTGCATGGGGAGTTTCCATCACTCCATAGACTCTCACAAGATTTTTTTACATACGCATTATTTCGGCTTCCCATAGTTAATGTTTTCCTTGATAAACTGCTTCCCTTTTATAAAATTTTGTTTTCTTGAAACAAATTTTTTTTGGAACCAAAGTTCTCATGCATTGAATGTTCCCTTATCCTTTATCATTCTCTTTGCGAAGGTAACAGCGCTTTTCCTTAAAGAAAGACATACAGTGAAACCTCTATTAAGCAGACCCCCAATTAAGCAGACACCCTCTATTAAGCGGACACTAAGCCGGGTCCCAAAATTAACGTCTTATATTTCCCTTTGTAACGAACCCCTGTTCATCGGACACCTCTGTTAAGCAGATGCAGACACTAAAATAAATAATTTACAAAATAAAAAAATCTATAGTACTGAAGTCGATTAATAAAGATAAATCAATACATTTAACTCTCAATAAACTGTAGATAAGACCGAAACTCTTGCACAAAGTACAGCACAGCTTCCTTAGCTTCCTTATTAACAACATGGAACTTTATCACAGTACAAGGTAACCGTTGAAACTTAATTGTTAACAAACATTGCACAACTTTTACAAACCTCTATTAAGCAGACACCCTCTATTAAGCAGACACTTGGGAAGGTCCCGAAGGTGTCCACTTAATAGAGGTTTCAATGTATTTCCTTCAGTATCAAATCATAAGCATTGAAGGTTTAGCTGCTCAAAAACTTTCCATTGTTGTGGCTTCGCGCACGCTACTGGTGTACACCAGCGTAACACCGTGCCTTATGCACAATTTGTGCTCAAGAAAAGGCACGGTTTTTGTGCTAAAGCACGGGAAAAAAACATGCAAAGGCACAGATTAGGCACACTTTAGGCACAGTTAAGGCACGTTTTAAGTATTGCTAAGGCACATTTTAGGCACAGTTTTTGCACGGTTTAGGCACAAATATTCAACGCAGGGCACTTTTTTGAAAATCTTTGTAACCCGACTTGCAAAAAAGAACAAACTTGGTACGAATTTCAAAAATAATTCAGATCAAACACGATACAGTTTATAGAAGAATAGGAAGTGTAAGTTTTGAGCCGCATCGAAAGTCGAGAAAATTAAAGTATTCTTCGACAGTCTGTGTTTACTCCAAGGATAAAGTGGAAATTCTCACGCGCACGCGATATATGCGGTCTGAACCTTTTCGATTGCCATGCAGTTTTATAGACTGGCTTTCTTTCGTTTCTAAAAGAAATCGTGAAAGAAAGTCGAAACCATAATAACAAAAACAAAGCTAAAGAAGTAAGGCACAAAAATAGCCACTAAAAGTCGTAGAAAATACTTTTTGTGATCGCGGTAAAGTTGGCCTGAATTTGCATAACAACATGAAAAGTGGTAATTTGAAACCTTCATGCCAACGCCTGCTGTTTTTAAAAACAAAATGCGGCTGCTTTTTAAATATATTTCTCTAACTAAAAAAGTAGAATTTACACTTAGTAGTAAAATAATTCAAGCTGCTTGTTTGTTTTTGTTTTCTGGCTCTGTTAGCAAATTAAGCTTTGATCGTATAATAATCGATGAGACGTGCCAATTTTGCTTCAAAACTCATTGGCGTGCAATCAATTTTTTCGTTGTCATTTTATAAGACTTATGATATGACTTAGTCATATCACAAGTAAATTCTTTTTTGAATGCAAATCTGCCCTCCTGAAGAAACAAATATTATTATTTTCGTTCCACCTAAACGCTCCGTTAAGAAGGGGATAAGAAACCCACTTCTCAAACTCATTAATAATTCATTAAGAAAATACAAAGGAAATTAATGTTTAATGAGTGTTTGGAAATCGGATGAAACACTGCTTAGTATTTGCATCCTTAATTTCTCCTTCAAAAATGATTTTGTTTGAGAAGAAATATCAAACATTCGACACAGTGTTTCATCACCAGATGAAACACCTCGAAGTTCGTCAAAAATACTCCGCTGCGCGTCGTATTTTCAACTCTCTTCTCGGTGTTTCATCTGGTGATGAAACACTGCATCTCATGTTTGATATATTACTTGAAAATTTTTTAACATCAGTGAAATTCTTGAATCGATGAAATTATATCAACATGTAATTGAGCTGAGCACTTGTTTTAAATACGCTAACCTGTTTAAGATTCCATTTTCCTGTTTGTCGGGGCTTTCTCTGCTGTCTCTAACCGTATTCTGAGTCATGTTATTTCTTATTAGGGGATAAAAAGGTCATCAGACCGTGTTTCTAGACTTCGTAAACCTAAAACTGACATAATTGCTGTGCGCACTTTTCTTTCGCTGTGGAGCTTGATAGGCTGAACACGATTTCCGAGTGTCTCAATATTTTGGCACAACTTGTGCACAGATTAGGCACAGTTTGGGCACAACTTAGGCACGGCTTAGGCACGTTTTTCAAAACTAAAATGCACACTTTATGCACATCTTAGGCACATTTTAGACACAAAATCTTTGTGCCAAAGCACACACTAGAATCCGATTTTCGGTCCAACGCATGGTTTACGAATTTTCACCTTAAAAAATGCTTTCTAACCTTAGATTTTTGATCTTACTGAAAAATGGGTTTCCCGAAGTCTTAACAGTTAGTCTATCAGGAAGGTTTAACTTATGAGCATTCCAAAAATTATTATTTCTTCTCTTAACAACAAAAGAAAGTCAATCAAAAGCAATCTTTTAAATTGACGTCCACGCTGCACAGAGATCGGATGTAGACAGAACATCTTTCTGAAAACGCCTTAAACTTTGTTGTTTTGCCATCATGTTCAGTAATTTGTAATACAGTTAGTACTCATAAGTCACTGACCTCTGTGGAGAAATTTTTCCAAAGTACCATGAACAGAAACAGAGAAATCCCGCAATATGCGTGGTTAGACTGTAAATGTTACGCGAGCTGTTAAAAAATGGTCCCATTTTGAGCCATATTTTTCATATTTTAATTTTATTTTGATCTTACAACCAGAAAAAAATATTCAATGAAAAGCTGTTTATAAACTTTAAGTTCTTGCCAAATATCGATGCGATCTGAGTTTTAATAAGTTCATAAGAGCCAAACGATGTGAGATTCTTAGCCATGTACACCAGTAGCGTGCGCCAGGCCTTGTCCATTGTAAAGAATTTGTAAAAGTACCCTCCCCTAGCCTCCACTCCAACTCACTTTTAACGAGAAGAAAACAAACAGCTTCAAAAGTGAAACTTGTATAATTATTTCAGGCTGCCGGCACGTTAAAGAACATTAATGTATAGGTAACCATAAAAGCCAAAACATTATCTAGCTGGATTTTTGAAAACGTACCTAATTAAAATAGACCTATTCGGCTAACTCAATGTTGTACCCAATTCAAATCTCCCGGGGCTAAGATTCTTTGTGTATTGTATTTGCATCATAATGTGGCATTCTCATTTAAATGTATGGAAATTTCTGAAACAAAAAGTTTTATTCCCAAAGGGTTTGAATTGGGTACAACATTGAGTTAGCCGAATAGGTCTATTGCAGTCAGTCTCGAGAGAAAAGGTAAAGGAAAAAATAGAAAGAGCTAGGAGAAAGAAAGGAGGAGAAGTAAAAAAGCAATGGCTGCAATCTTAGTTTTTATGTTGACTTCTCTGGAAATAGTTTTTCAAGGAAAAAAATTCGAGGGGAGAACTCTATTTTGGCTGAGACATTATTCAAGAATACAGCTAGATATATATTTTTCTTACCCTTGTGACTGACAGAAGTCTAATGGAAAAGGATATATTGTAAAAGCTAATAATCAAGCAAGGCTTTCATTTTCCAGATTTAAGGCCTTGACTAAATTTGCTGTAATTTACAGCTAACAACTCATTCTAGTACTTTGTAATTAAGCGCCGTGTTGTTTTGGGGTTCCTTGAAAGTAGCATGGGCATCCTATGCAATAGCCAATATGTTTAATATTTATTCTTTTTGAAAAAAGAAAGACTTTCTTTATCCCTGAAAACGAGGTACAGTTGAACCTTGATTATCCTGACTTGTTGGGACTTGAGTAAATAGTCCGGATAATCAAAAATATGAATTTTAATGAGACAAAAATGTAAACATAGGGAATAAAGAAAACAAAATTGTGAATTAGCTCTCACTTGATTTATGTATGTACTGTAAGTATCATATATTTTCAATCCTTCGCTTATCTCGACGCTGTCGGTGAATTTCAGGATCTTCTCTTTGTTTTTCGTATGCACGAGATCTTCTGCTCGCTGATTTTAACCTTGAGTGCTACATTAATTTTGTTCATTTTTTGCCTTTCTCCAAAAGTGAAATAATCGTTTGCTTATCCTTAATTGAGAGAACAGACTGCTTTAGTTGTGTAGACGTAGCTGTGATTTAAGTTTACGATCGATTGGTCTTGTGTTAACATAAGCAACACAGAATCAAGCATGACATTTAATTTTCTTAGCAACACAACAACTGAGCCAATCAGAATTCAGCTGAATGCATCAGAATAATGGTTTATCTCATGCTTCTCTTGCTTTTTCAAAGTGAAACATGGATTAAAACAGTGTTTCAAACACACGTTTGGAAGGATAATTGAACTTTTAACTGTTTCCGTTTTTCAAGATCACATCTTATTAATATTCATGAAAAAAAACGGGACCAAGGAAACAAGTCTGGATAATTGAAAAGTCCGGATATCTGAGGTCCGGATAATCGAGGTTGGACTGTAGCAGGTATTATTTTTTCTCTAAGTTTTCCATAAAAGTAACAAACACATTTTGTGCATTTTTTGTTTGAACAGATAATGGCAAATAATGTGGGTGTCCTGTGTTAAACGCTCAAAATGCTTCATGCTTAATTTTGACATGTTCCACTGAACGGATTTTGGCAGATTTTTATTATGTTGCTAGATATAGGCGTATGGTATTGAAATCAATTCTGTTGCAATTAGGTTGATGTTGAGCCTAAAAAATGTCTAGATTGCTAAAAAAAGGTTTCCAAAAAAAAAATTAAATACTAAAATCTGAGAGAGATGTTTTCAGGGGGCTCAAAAAGAAAAAATCTGAGTACTCCCAACAGCAGTGGTGAGTAGTGCAGATGCTCTACCTTAAACACCAGTAGTTACATGTAGGTGGGCTATAAATTGACCTGTTTTGGTACCTCACATTATTATACAGTAGTTTAACACCTGAAACTTAATAAGTCAAAAAGATTTATTAATTTATTCACAGACTAAAACAGCTAGTAAACCACTCCATTTTGTTTTGTTTACTTTCAGTTTTGGTTATAATTATTATTGTTATCTGCTAAACTACTGAAACCTTAATCTTTAATGTAAACAATAACGTCTTACCCGGCCTCCTTTAAAAAATGTGCTCATGTGCTCATAACAAAAATTGAAAGAAAATAAAAGCAAGTGAAATACTGCTTGAATAGGAATTGAAGATTTGAAAGAAATGATTCTGTAAGCAAAAGGCAATTCAGATGTTGCAATGTAGCCTGCAAGTAGAAAACGTGATCAGTCACAGACAAGTCGCAAGGTGCTTGCTTTTTATCATGGAAATTGACTATTAGGGTTTTTAAACAACAAGGACAAAAATGGTTGGCATTGTCAGTGATAATAAGTAACAGTTTTAAACAAGGAAAAGGTGGTTTTTGGCAGAAAAATAGATACTTGTCTTTCTAGACAAGAACAACTCTTGGCTGTTTTGGCTGACAGGCGGGAGTGGGACAGACTCGTCAAATCACACTTTATCTATTGGTCTTCAGAAAAATTTACAAATTTCAACATGCCCTCAGTGGCTAATCTTAGGCAGGACATGTGTACAGAGTGAATTACAAGAGAGAAAGAAGGAATAGAAAAATGAGAAACAGAAACCATTAGTATATCTAAAAACATCTTTTGTAAATTTTTGCATGAATTAATTAAACTGAATAATGCAAACACTAATTTGCTGTCAGTCATACCAGTTGTGTATTATGCACCTATCAATGTAAACCCCGTGGGGGGGGAGTGCAGGCAAGGGGTGGGGATTTGACAAATTTTAAAATTTTTTGATCAAATTCCTTAGGGTGGGAAACGAAAGGTCAATCAAAAGTGTCAAAAAACTCCCCACCCCAGGGGAAAAATCTAAACAAACAATACGATAATACTATATAAAACGAATGAAAGAACATTTCAAAAGTACGTTCTTACTACTTTTATTTATGGTTAACGTAAGCTCCGTTAAATTACTCGCTGTTATTAAGTATTTTCTCTCTCCACTAGCATCGCTTATTTTGAACAACATAATCATTCCAGGAAGATTGACCGTGCTATTATATTAATGAAACGTAAAATGCTTTATAACATCGGATCAACATGTCGGAACAGGTTGGATCAGTAACCTGCAAAAAATCCTCTGACTTTCATGGTAGAATTCGATTTCAATCGAGGTTTACAATCAGATGGGAAGTTGAAGATAAAAACTTTCTCAAAATAGACATTATCTGTTTAGATGACAGTGTACATGTAAAGTATCGGATTATCGCGATTAAAACAAATGAAAACTTCATAACTTTCTCCAACAGCGTGACTTTCAGAAAGCCTCAAGGGACAGACTTGGTTACCGCTTCTGAATTGACACCAGGCTTCTATCGGTCAAAGTCAAATGTCCTGACACCGGGGTCGCTTCGAACGATCAAAAGCCCGACACAGGGATAGTCTCAGGCATCAAATCCCCACCCCTTGCCCGCACTCCCCCCCCTCGGGATTTACATTGATGGGTGCATTAGTAATACTTGACAACTTAATCACTTAATCAAGTTTCCAGGAAAAAAGGAAGGTTAAATTTACCTAGTACAAAAGCTTGTGGTGCTGACATACAGCTATTACTCTAAACTTTGGAGTTGCTAACCTGAAGGTGAATGGACATAACGCTGAGTCAGTTATTGGCAGCCAAAAATCTAGCTGCTGCTTATAGAGATTGTTAGATTCAATTTTGTTCCTTGACCAACAGGTTCCACAGAAATTTGCATGTATAGTAGCTGTAACTGTGTACACTTTCTTGGGTGCATATTTTTTCTTTAGTTGATATCATGGAGCTCAAACGGGACTGACCATGGGTTTCTGAGGATGAGGGAAACACAACCTGTATGAAAATTACTAGCCCCTCCATATTTTTGTTGAATGGTAGCCTATGAGAAAATCATTTTGAAATAATTGTTTTAAATTTTTTTTACCCTAAAAATATGGGTGACACAGAGAGCTGGCTGCTGGCAAACTTTACCGGCTCAAAAAGGGGCTTACCACTGGCTTAAATTACTCTGGAAAAAGAAGACATAAGTTAACTTTGAAGGTACAGTTAAGGAGAAAGCTGGCTTGACTGATAAAAAAGCCTCCTTAGCTTTTTCTTACCTATGTTCCTACTGACGTATTCTGTTAAATGTGCCGTTTTAGACAAAAGGGGAATATGAGCTGTTTTAGGACTGTAGTTCTTAGTATTTTTGTTATTTATTGCAGGCTTGAGGAGAATCTTAAAGAAGACAGAACACAAGAATTTTGGAAGCCACAAATCTGGATTACCCTTACATGTTAGATAAGCTTTATCTTTGAAAGTGAACCAAGTACTGCAATGAGAAGTGTGTTGAGATACTGCTAACCTGTACAGTTTGCTATTGCTCTGCATTATTTTTGTTCCATTTTAATTATCAAAACATCATTTCCTTTTTTTTGTCCTGGGGAGTAAATATAGGAGTTTTAAAATTTAATTGCTGTTCTCTCAGCACACTTCTCTTTTTTGATTACAAAGAAAGTACATGATGTATTTCTCCAAATCTGTCCAGCAGTTGTTAAGAACACATATAATTCTACGTCGCCATTATGTCAATCAGGGGTCATGTGAGATTGCGCGACCTGCCAGCTCAGCTCAATGCATTCTTACTCAGTGAAGAATTTGGTGGTTTTATTTGATCTCTCTGCCTGTGTTAGAAATTGGGGAGTGTTCCATGCCAACAGATGTTGTAACATAAGAGTGGAAGACATTTTTGGAAGTTGAAAGTCACACGTGGTCTATATTGTTGAAATCACCAAAGAACCACTAGCAGTGGTATAGTAACTAGATTTAGGAGACATGGCGAGAAATCCTGAAGTCTTGTCTCTAGAGCCAGACATTGGCAGCAGATTTGAAGATTATCATTCTTGTACTTTCTTTGAAGCTTTTTTATCCAAGTAAAGTTTTGCTCAACACCCTATCAGAGAACATATCCCTATTCCTCTATGGTTTTGCTGTTTGAATTTTCTGCATGTGGCATCATTTTTCATGGAGCTAAATCAGTGTTTATTGGTAATTTAACTCATTCACCCCCTGAACTGGTGGTAACTATATCTACTTGCAGATCCATGTCCCTTGCTTAGCTTGTGATTTCATCTGCTTTAAAGGTCATCTTACTTGTGCACAAGGGAAGAGTTTTTTAAAACCATACTAGAAGGAGCACATTTCAGTCAAACAGGCGAGAGAACAACACAAAAATACCATATGAACTTGACCTGAAAATTCCAATGAAATTGTTGTTCGATGTGCTACCTGCCTGCACTTCCTGCTTTTCTAACCCTATAATCCTTAAAGTTTTCCCAAAATCCTTTCCAACCAAAATGAAGCCTTGTAAATTCCCAGGAGAAAAAAAAGGAAAGAAGAAGGGAGGAGAGAAAGGAAAGGTAAAAGTAATGGAGGCAGTCTCACTTTTAAACCTAAAAATTCTGGAACTTTGGAAGCTATAATGTTTAAAGCATCAGAGACAGAAGGCCGTGAATTGCTTGACTTATTTGAAGAACTTTGTGGGACGTTTTGGTTCTTTTTTGCCAGATAATGACCAAAAGTGTTTGCTTGCGTTATGAAATTTCCGTACATTTGTGCCAACCTTTACAGTCGATATAAATTCACAGTACTTTGTATCCTAGTAAAACTTTTTCCTGTTGTCAGTCAATCTGAATAAGAAGTAGGGAATATGTTCATGAAAAATGATGCCACTAACCTGATATTTGTGTGTTCTACTACAATTAAATTTAAGAGATTCAGATAAATGCATTTGTAGTCTTAACAGCAGTTACCAGTACCAATACACGCCCTTGAAAAGTTTTTTTCTCTTTTGTGAAACCTGAGTTTTTGTGGATGTCAGTCAACTGTTTCTATGGTTTTGACTTATGCCCTCTGACAGATAAGGTTCTCACATTGTTTTCCTACAAGAATAATTTCGAATAACAAAGGAATTTTCAATTTCCATTGAGATGGATAATACAGTTAAAACTACATGGTCTCTGCGGGCCCATGAGTGAAATAGCTAGAATACTTTCTGTAGTAAATGCAAACATTTTCAGGTTGTTTGTTTGGGTTGTGTTTGATTGTATGAAAACAGAAGCTGTGGGCAAACTGCCAAGGAGGAATTAAAAGTGAAAAAAGGTATCATACAGGTAACACAGAGAAAAGAAAAAAATCCTCTGAATAGAGGCTTTCTTCAACAAGTGAACGTTGTGTGAAATTGAAATTTGTAAGCTGCTAACAACTTGTCACTCGCTTCATGCTATCAAATAGAATTCAGAACTAGTTAAAACTCTATCTTGACAAGTTGCAAGTGTTCACTGAGTAAGGTTATGAAATATGGCTGTAATTTACAGTGTGCAAAGATTTATTTTCAAACTTGCTAAGTTGGCAGCAAATTATAATATCAGCGAAATTCAGAAGGCCTCATTGGAAAAATATCCTCGCTAATCTTTGCTTTTCAAGCAGAAACTATGAGAGAGGCATGCGAAAAAGCCATGGAAACCATTGATTGATGTGCGCAAAAAACCAGGTTTCAATCAAACAAAGAATGTTTTGTTGAGAGCATGTGTTATTGGTAACCACTGTGATTTTACACATGTATTTAGGGTTGATGATGAGTGGAACTTTACTTGGATGTTCAATCTGCTATTTATACAACTGGGCTGGTTGCATAGGTATTAACAGCGTGTTACTGCTAATTTCATCTAACATTTTGCATTCAAGGTAAACAAAAAATCTCTTTCCACGATGTTTGGTGCCAGTGAAAAATGGTGTCAAGTGTTAATTTTTGCGATTAATTTCTAGCCATTATGGTTTCCATAGCAACAGTGCATTGAACTTGTAAAAAAGTACTGTTTTAAAGTTCAAATCTCAATTAGGATCGAACTTTGAAGTGATATAAGTGCTTGAGTCAAACGTCTGTTTCCTTTCTGTGGCAATGACAACATTTTCTGCAATTTCTACAAATAAGAAATTCACTGAGGCCAACTATTTTGGTACATGCCATTGAAAAAGTCGAAGAGAAAATAAGCTTGAGATTCCGGTCTCTGTTGACATATTTACCATGAAAAGACAAAGGATAACTGTAGTAATTGGTTTTTCCAATAAAAAAATTAGGAAGTCTTGGAAAAATGCCTAGAAGTTGTTGTAATAGTTGTTGTCGTTGCTGATTCTCAGAGGTAATGTAGGCAAACAACATCTCAAAATTTATATTTGTTAGACTTTGATGAAATCTGACAATCTAATTCATTTAGGGTACATTGACATCACATGCACTGTTCATTTAATGGTCATACATGTATGTTGTTGCCATAGNTTGTCAGTCAATCTGAATAAGAAGTAGGGAATATGTTCATGAAAAATGATGCCACTAACCTGATATTTGTGTGTTCTACTACAATTAAATTTAAGAGATTCAGATAAATGCATTTGTAGTCTTTACAGCAGTTACCAGTACCAATACACGCCCTTGAAAAGTTTTTTTCTCTTTTGTGAAACCTGAGTTTTTGTGGATGTCAGTCAACTGTTTCTATGGTTTTGACTTATGCCCTCTGACAGATAAGGTTCTCACATTGTTTTCCTACAAGAATAATTTCGAATAACAAAGGAATTTTCAATTTCCATTGAGATGGATAATACAGTTAAAACTACATGGTCTCTGCGGGCCCATGAGTGAAATAGCTAGAATACTTTCTGTAGTAAATGCAAACATTTTCAGGTTGTTTGTTTGGGTTGTGTTTGATTGTATGAAAACAGAAGCTGTGGGCAAACTGCCAAGGAGGAATTAAAAGTGAAAAAAGGTATCATACAGGTAACACAGAGAAAAGAAAAAAATCGTCTGAATAGAGGCTTTCTTCAACAAGTGAACGTTGTGTGAAATTGAAATTTGTAAGCTGCTAACAACTTATCACTCGCTTCATGCTATCAAATAAAATTCAGAACTAGTTAAAACTCTATCTTGACAAGTTGCAAGTGTTCACTGAGTAAGGTTATGAAATATGGCTGTAATTTACAGTGTGCAAAGATTTATTTTCAAACTTGCTAAGTTGGCAGCAAATTATAATATCAGCGAAATTCAGAAGGCCTCATTGGAAAAATATCCTCGCTAATCTTTGCTTTTCAAGCAGAAACTATGAGAGAGGCATGCGAAAAAGCCATGGAAACCATTGATTGATGTGCCCAAAAAACCAGGTTTCAATCAAACAAAGAATGTTTTGTTGAGAGCATGTGTTATTGGTAACCACTGTGATTTTACACATGTATTTAGGGTTGATGATGAGTGGAACTTTACTTGGATGTTCAATCTGCTATTTATACAACTGGGCTGGTTGCATAGGTATTAACAGCGTGTTACTGCTAATTTCATCTAACATTTTGCATTCAAGGTAAACAAAAAATCTCTTTCCACGATGTTTGGTGCCAGTGAAAAAATGGTGTCAAGTGTTAATTTTTACGATTAATTTCTAGCCATTATGGTTTCCATAGCAACAGTGCATTGAACTTGTAAAACAGTACTGTTTTAAAGTTCAAATCTCAATTAGGATCGAACTTTGAAGTGATATAAGTGCTTGAGTCAAACGTCTGTTTCCTTTCTGTGGCAATGCCAAAATTTTCTGCAATTTCTACGAATAAGAAATTCACTGAGGCCAACTATTTTGGTACATGCCATTGAAAAAGTCGAAGAGAAAATAAGCTTGAGATTCCGGTCTCTGTTGACATATTTACCATGAAAAGACAAAGGATAACTGTAGCAATTGGTTTTTCCAATAAAAAAATTAGGAGGTCTTGGAAAAATGCCTAGAAGTTGTTGTAATAGTTGTTGTCGTTGCTGATTCTCAGAGGTAAGTAGGCAAACAACATCTCAAAATTTATATTTGTTAGACTTTGATGAAATCTGACAATCTAATTCATTTAGGGTACATTGACATCACATGCACTGTTCATTTAATGGTCATACATGTATGTTGTTGCCATAGTGACTACCACTGTTTTCAAATTGAGCAAGAAAATTGGTAAAGATACTTACCTTTGTTTGTGAGACTGTCACATCAGTTAAGCATTTTTAAACATTGTATCAATGCTTGTGCAACCAGCCCTAGATTTAGCGGATGGGTATTCGTTTACTTGATATCTCTGTTTTGTGTGGATAAGTGTCCCAAACATCATTTTGATTGTGATAGTTTTTGACCCACTTTGATTCAGCGTCCAAGTTACCTGAACTGTTTTAGCTCAAGCTGACTGAACTATGGGACGAGGATTTAATTTGGGAAAGAATTTCC